CCAAGCTGTCAACATTTTGATGTCTATTAGATGCCTATTAAAAAAATTTGTTTGCTAGGAATCCAATTATTTATTTATTTATTTTTGTTAATTTTGGGGGGAAACTTAATTGTTTTATGTTCAATCCACTTAAATTTGTTATATTAACCTAATCAATTTGTGTTGAGACAACATGAAACAATTGTGTGGAACCTTGCATTTTTCATATAAAATGTATTTAACATGAACTGCACAAATTCCCATGCAACAGTGGGGTAGAAACACCATCAAAGTCACAGTTGACAGCAGCCAAACACTGATTTAATGGTGGTGGACAGAAAATCAAGGTGACTCAGATCCTCCAGCTCATTATAATTCTGCGCAGCACAGAGAGAGTGATTAATGACATCTTTATCTTTTCCACATACCCACTAATTGTTAAATGCAGTATAAATATTTATAGCACATCAATATCAAACTGAACGTTCTCCCAAACGAACGCTAGACATGAAATACTACTGCAGCACTTTCTGATGTGCCTATTCATTTGGCTCGGTTCACGATCCCTCCCGCTTATCCTGTTCAATGCAAATCTGCAGCATTATGTACGAATAAGGGGAACTATAATTGCGGTCCTATTGTAACACAATACAGCATATGCACAGGGCCATGTATATGATTAGCATTCTTTAGTCGCTAATAGGACAGCGATTGTATTGACTATGGCTTATTTTATTCAAATGAGGCAATTAAAATGGTGAATATGAAGTGTAGTAATTTACATGAGGTGTGCCGTACTGTATGAAAAACTTCAGTTCCCTCTGGATCATGTTAAATTGCTCCTTCAGCCCCGCCTCGACTTGATAATTGGAATACATACTGTATTAATCATGAAAACAAAAGCGCTAAATTTAGTTACGAGGTCGAAGTCTAGAGGACAATGTTTAAAACAATAGGTTATAGGTTTTTTCTAGCTAATTCCATCATTCACGCAGACTCTGCAAGCTATGCACAAATACACACACATGTAGGCCCAAGGGAACGAGGTTAGAAAGACACTTTGGCTGTCAGAGTGGGAGAGCTAATGAAAACAAATGATAACTTGTATTGAACGCAGTACATCACAGTGCAAATCTGAGTGAAACAGTCCAGTGTTTCCAGATAAACAGTGGACTTCGCTATTGTATCCACCTAATATTTCACATAAGAGTGGGCATGGCCATTGAACTAAAATGTATCGAGACTTCTGCACTCATTGACTTCCATTGATTTTTAGCTGTACAAAATTGTTTTTGTTATGAAGCTTGTTGTTGCAAACTTGTACTTTCTTATATTATTTACTTTATTTCTTTCTTATTTATTATATTATTGTTATGTATAGTCATGAACCTATTGGTTTGTATAGCGCAAGTAGTTTTTACTACCATTTTTTGTTATTCCTTTGTTACCCATAGCCAAGAGCTTAGAGGAAATAGAAATTAACAAATTTTTCCACATTACAAAATAAGGTGGATAAGAAGCAATTACAACTAATGTGTCAATGAAATCCATTTAATTTTCTATTTTATAATAAAATAAACGCAATCCTTTCACCCAAAAATTCAAATTTAGTCACCATTTATTTTGAAAAATGTTCATGCAATGCTTTCTTGTTCCCAAACAATAAAAGTCAAGATGTTAGAATGTTATGACTTCAGTCTTTTGACTTCATTGACATTCATTGTATGTGGGTCAAAGGTGAAAAGGGTGTACAAGCACCTAAACTTATTTTTTCATATATTAAAATTATTTCTTGTTGTTATTTTTTTTTTTTTTGAGCAACTTTAAAAGTATCGAGTTTACCATCTTTTTTAAGCAAAGTCAACTAATTGCTTTAAAAGCATCAGGTTTAGTCACTTTTTTAAGTAAAGTAGACTAATTGCTACAAAAGTATTTAGTTTACTTTAAGTTGACTAATTGCTTTAAAAGCATCAGGTATAGTCACTTTTTTATAAACTCGATCAACTGCTTTGAAAATGCATCAGGTTAAGTCACTTTTTTAAAGTCAACTAATTGCCATAAAAGTATCAAGTTTACTTACTTTTTAAAGTAAAGTCGGCTGATTGCTTTAAAAGAATAGGCTTTAGTCACTTTTTTAAGTAAAGCCAACTAATTGCTTTAAAAGTATCGAGTTTACTTTAAGTCGACAAATTGCTTTAAAGGCATCGGGTTTAGTCACTATTTTTAAATAAAGTTAACTAATTGCTTTTAAAGTATTAAGTTTACTTACTTTTTTAAGTAAAGTCGACTAACTGCTTTGAAAAAACATCAGGTTTAGTACATTTTTTTAAGTAAAGTCAACTAATAGCTATAAAAGTATCGAGTTTACTTACTTTTTTAAGTAAAGTCGACTAATTCCTTTAAAGGTATTGACTTTAAGTAAACTTTACTTTCCAAAAGAAAGACAATGGAATATTATCTCGTCTATATTTTATCTACTTTACTTCTATCTACATGAAATAACTTTTGTAAATGTGATTTGATACGAGAGCTACAATTAGAAATTTAATCATTGATCGGTGTACAAAAACATTCTTCAATATATCTTTTGTGTGTCTGTGTAATAAGCAGGTTTATTGTAGTTAAATAAAATATTCGATACATAAATTGCACTGTTAGCATGTATTGTATTAAAAATTACTAAATCTTAATCAAAAACTAACAATTTAGACAATTATAAAAATATTTCAAATTGCAAAAAAAATGTAAATTGAACAAAACAAAAGCATGTCTATGATAAATTCCTCAATGTATCCCTCATTTGTAAGTCTTTGGGATAACAGTGTCTGCTAAACAGATAACTGTAAGTACAGAAAAAAAAGAGTAGAGATAAGTCAGTGTACTCACCTTGACAAGTTATTTGGGACTAATTACCAAAATTATTATGTTTATAAGTGGCGAGGCTCATGAGAAGATACCCAAAACAAAGGTTTGGTGCGTAGGTACTGCGTCACTTACAGGCTGACTTTTTCAAGACAAGGTTGTCAAGGCCAGGAAGTCTCAGTTACTGAAACAACACTGATAAAGGTTTTCTAATCCCCCACCCCGAGAGTGCGTGTGTGTGAGTGTGTGTCCCAATGTATGTGTAAATGTATGTGCATGTACAACTGCCTGAAGTGACACAGGTAGAGTAACAGCATAGGTCTAATTTTTGGAGCATTTTTAAGGGGCCTTTGAATTCTTATATGAAATATGCATCTGTAACTTTTGCCTAAACTCTTTGAACTAATGCTTTTTTAGTATGTGTTTTTAAAGGCTGATTTATACTTTTGCATCAAGCGCACATGTAGCCTTTACGCAGTTGCATAGCCCTCGCCATGACTGACGCCATAGCTGACACACCCCTCTCAAAAAATGTAACTACATGTCATAACAAACCCATTGGAGCGAGTGTTTACAAGTGTTGAGTCCCGTGAAGTAGCTCTAGATGTGTTATGCTCCAGCAAGCAGCATCAAAAGGGAAAAGAACATTAATTTAAATGCAAAACATGCCAGGTTATAGCCGATTTATACAGCTCCTGCCTTTTGCGTTGCCGTGCATTTATACTTCAGCGTGCTGTTTGTGTTGCTCTGCAATAACACTTCTGAAACTCTAGCTGGCAGTAGGTTTAATTGTTCCTCTGTGTCGTGTTTCTTAGCGGGCGTTTTCTTTTTTTCTGAACGCTTCCTTAATATACAAGTAACTAAAACTCGCTTATTCAGAGGCGGGAAAAGGCGGAAGAGCAACAACTTTTAATGTATACACAAAACAACAGTTTCCATCTAGGGGACTCCTTCACAGGACTTGACACTTGTAAACACTCACTCCAACGGGTTTGTTGGCTCTCGGTTCAACCCACACTGGTCACAGCTACCAAGCTGACCAATCACAGTGCTTGTGCTACGCTTTGTTGAGACATGTAGTTACATTTTTTGAAAGGTGCACGCCAGCATCGCCGTCAGCCTCGGCGAGGGCTATGCGATCATGCGAAGGCTGCACCAGACCATACACATGCGATTGACACAGAAGTATAAATCAGCTTTAGTCTGTTAGGCCTGATTGCTTAGAATTAGCATTCTGTCTCTTTTGACTAAGCATAACTTTAGATATCATTCATGCTTGTGTAAGCTTGAGCAACAGTAACAATGGTTCTCGCTGTAAAGTTGCACTTGTTCCATCATGAGCGAAACAGATGACCTGCATACTGAACTGTAGAAACATACAAGGCTGAGGATTATTTTAAAAATGTTGTGATGTCTTTACTGTACACTGGCAGAACACACAGAGGTCTCGGTACTGATACATTATGCCTACAGATTCCTATACAGACCTTTATTTTGAAGATTCAAGAACACAATGACTTTTCAACAAAAAAACTTAATTTCATTATTTGCAACTGATGCTAAACATACACAGTCTTTTAGGGGTTTGGGGCTTATGAGATTTTTTAAATAATATGCTGACATTTTTTATCTTTTTCTTTAATGCCTGGGAAAAATGCATTTATTTGTTCAAAATCTAAGCAATTTTAATATTGTGAAAATAATAAAATGTAAAATAACTGTTTTCAATTTGAATATATTTTCAGATATAATTTATTTTTGTGATAAATAAGCTGAAATTTCAGCAACCACAACTTCATTGCCTCGTGATTCCTTTATAAATTATTTATTTACAGCTCAAACTTTTATAATCGTTCTTGAAAACTGTTGTGCTGCATAATATTTCTGTGTTAAACAATAGATACTTCTTAGAATTTTCTGAAGACAAGGGAAAAACAAATAAAATTAAAGCGTTTGTAACCTTATAAATGCCTTGATTGTCACTTTTGACCTTGTTTTTTTTTACATTTTAAAACATTAGATTATTAAAAACACTGCTCAAAAATAAAGCACAGCTAAAAACACTTAAACAGCAGAATGTAATTCAAAATGTTCCCTTTATTTCTTTTTACACAGTGTATGAATATGAATCAAAATATATATTTAAAAAACTAACATACCTCTTGAAGAACCTTCAGAGCCTTCACGTGTCTGTGAATTAATAAAAACAAGTAACATTACTCGATTTGACATAAAAACAATCAGTTTAGGTCTTAAAAACAAAACAAAAAGACCTGTCAAAATGTCAAGCACACATATCCATGATCATTCAAGTGATACCAACATTTAGACAGCTGATTTATGAAGCCAGCTGAGATTCATAACAAATGCATTTGAAGGGCTTAGAGGGAACAGCAGGCTTGCTTAGATACTAGATCACATTTAATAAATCGACACGCTTAATGACTCATTGAGGCGCTGCTCAAATGAAATATCTTTAGGCAGACAGTGCAGTAATAGGCTGTCAGCTCAAGTATCAGAGGAGCCGTTGAATGAACAAGACTAGACAATGATAAAGATGTGCACAGGGACAGGATGAAGAAGATCCCTAAAGGACAAACAATTGGACTTTATCTGAAATGTGTTTCAATCCAGACAGAGATGAACACTTACTCTCTTTCTGAGTCCACCAGGTCTTTGGCAACATAGTAGGCTCTTGATCGGCCATCAATCTGAGAGAGACAGAAAAGAAAAATGAGAAATAAAAGAGAGACCCAGTTTTTAAAGTTCAAGTACACACTGTGTATTGTGCAGCATTTTATTATAAAACATAAAGCAATGCTTTCCCTTCCAAATAAATAAAATAAATAAATACTTGAATACTGATTTAATCTCAGTCTAATCTGTGTCTAATCTGGTTTTAAATCAGGCCCAAGTGTATTACAAGCAGCTGCAGATCACTGGAGAACTACAATTCAGCCACTGAACCGAACTACAACTCCCAGAACTCTTTGCACGCATCACTCCACAGCTGATAGTCATTTGGATAGGCAGACACACACACACACACACAGCTGAAACTCATGATCATTGATTATCAGGACTATTTAAACCACTTACTTTTTCATACACAAGGCTGAGTCTTGTTTACCCCATGTAGCATTACACAGCGGTTTGTCTTGCACAAGTTTTTCATTGTACCACAAGTGATCTTATGAGTATACTTGTGGTTTGTAATACTTGTCATAAATACTTGTTTGTGAAGGAAGGAAATAATGTCATGATCTGGCCAAGTATGGTGTCCCATACTGAGAATTTGAGAATTTTCTAGCACTTTTCTGTCTGTTTAAGTTAATTATAGGTTACTTAAGTGCAATTTAAATGTATTTCTGAGAAGTATCTGAAATATATTTAGGATAAATATGTTAAAAGTAGACTAAAAGTGTACTTTCTTTTTTTTTCTTTGTTTAAAAGAGGTATACTCATATAGAAAATTGGAATAAAGAGACACTTTACCAAAAATTTTAATTTGCTGTTCATAACCTCAGACCTTTTTTGTTGTTAAAAATGTGCTTATTAGCAATTAATCAAATTTAACTTAATTAAACTCAACAGCACTTTAAAAGTAAAAAAAAAAACATTCACAGGGAAAACTTAATCCATACCAATACAGTTACTCTGTATAATACATGGAACTCTAATGAAGTGAAACTATTAGTCTGTGCAAGATACTAATTTTATAATATTAATATTATTTTGAACATTATAACTTTTAATTTCAACATAGCAAACAGAGTATATGCACAGCTGTGTCAGGTTTGCTTTTGTTAACAATTGGTTAGGTTAAGAGTATCATCTGGCAAAGGTTTTTCATACAACAAGCAACACCCTCTTTTGAGCATTTCAAAAGAAAAGTCCAGCATAATTTCAAGTCATATATTTTCGATGAGCCTGGCTTGGTCAAGCACCTGTGTTTGCACAAGCTATCAAAATGAGTGCATTGTTAAACACATTTAGAACTTTATAAAGTCAAATAAATCAATGATATTAATATATAAATACAATATGTTGGCAGAAGAATGGACAGTCTGATTTAATTTCTCATCTAACATAGTAAAAAAAAAAGACTGATTATTTCATTACAGCATAATGTAAACGAGAAAGCTTTCCTGGACGTGCCACTTTAAACACAGCTGCATTATGGATGAGAGTCTGTGTTCATGGCAAGCACAAATCCACCATTGATTTGCAAGCTAATCACAGCTGTCTGCGTGAGACTATAAGATGAGCATTTAGAATAACATGACTTGGTGCGGATGAGCAACATATCCATAAAGAGTAAAAAAAAAAAAAAGTGTGTGTGTGGGGGGGGGGGGGGGGGGTGGTGGAGTAATTATTACACATGTATGAAAATCCACATTAAAATGATTTTTTTTAAGTGTAGATGTTTTTTTCCCAGTTTGTTGTTGTGGTGGAATGAGGCTGGGACAGGTTACTCCCAGATATTCTTTTCTTTTTAAAGAAGAAGAAAACAAGGAAGCAGGCGTCACAAGGCCGGGGCCCCGGCTGATATTACAGTGGCAGAGGGAAGAGGTGGGGTCCAGCTTTCATTGCAGAGCTAAACTCATTGCCAGTAGACGCACATGAACCTGGAGCTCACAAAAATGCACACATAGGGAATTTTTCTACAACAGGGAGGGTCCTTGTTTTTATCCGTTTTAGCATACACAGATGTTGATTACTCTGTTAACGGTATTAGGGAATGTTATAAAATAAAAGTAAAATTCTGTAGATTAACTGTAAAATGTAAATACTACACTGATAAATGAAAGGTATTATGAAAGTTTTTTGAAAATTATGATTTTATATAGGAAAATACCACCATCATTTACGCACCCTTCAATTGTTAAAAAGCTGTTTGATTTTTTTCTTTTTCTGTACACAAAGAAAGATATTTTGAAGAAGGGTGGAATAACTGGCCATAGGGAACACTGGGACATTCCCTTATATTTATGTAACATTATCAGTTTTATTTAATGTTTACTATAATAAAAGAGCTGATGCCTTAAATATTTAAGTCATTTCAAAATAAAATAAAATAAAATAAAATAAAATAAAATAAAATAAAATAAAATAAAATAAAATAAAATAAAATAAAATAAAATAAAATAAAATAAAATAAAATAAAATAAAATAAAAATAAAATAAAATACAAATGTAGAGCCCTGTAGGATTAGGTATGTCTTTCTCAAAAAATACTGGGTTGTTTTAAACTGTCTATTTCAAAATTTTAACAAACTCAGTTAATGAATCTCACCCAAATTTTGTTTGCAGTGCATTTTAGAATGCAGAGTATGTACTATATAGCACTGCATACTAGCAAGCGCTTTTTATTAAGGACATTTTATTCAAAAGAAATTTACAAAAGACATTATTAAACAGTCAACTGACCTGTCGATCATGACAGTGGTCTCCACAACCATCCTCTTCCTCAGATGTGCGTCCATGATCTTCCTCATTGGACACAGTTGCAGACACAGGACAAACAGGAAATGGCTCAGTGTAGGCACTGAAAATAATTGAACAAACAAAAAACAGAGAGTTATTTCATTATATTGCAGTGTTAATTCTGTTAATGAAAATGGCCTATCACAAAACAGAAATTTGATAGATCTGCTGTGCCAGTAACATGACTGAAAACAAGTGATCCTCTTATCTAACAAATAAACAGTAAAAAGCAAAGGATAATGACAAAAATTAATGCTGGTTTTAATCATCTTGACTACACTTTAGCCTTGTCTTTTTTCTTAAACAGTAACCCACTGTTCATTCATTCACATATTTCAGTCACATTACTAGCCAGAGGACCTGTCAAGTGTCTGTTTGTGTCAACCTAGGCTGCAAACATTTTTCGCCATTATTATGAAATTAACACTGACTACGTTTACATGGACATCAGTAATCGATACTGTAGTTTGATTAACGCTATTGCGTCACCACGCTATCCACATTTCTATCCACATGTAATTTTGGACGTTTAATTTTTAATTTTTTGACTTTAATTGCTGTTTGGTAGTTTCACTTTCATGCAGGAACATTTCATTCATGCCCCCATGACAAACTGGGGTATTGAGGTATTGAGGTATTGAATGTATGTATGAATTAAGCACTTGTGGAAGACTATTGTTTGAAAGGAATTTGATATCGCATGCCAAATGAGAGAATAAAAACCTCCACATTTTAAAGTGTATCTGTCTGTGGTCCTTTGCTAACTTGGTGCAGAGTGCAGAGAATAGTGTCAAATCCATCTGTGTATGAAATATCCTGTTGCAAAATGCAGCGAAAAGTTCTACATGACTAATAATAGTTTGATTAAGGCGTTTACATGTCTGTACTGCATTTTTTGTAATGCAACTACAACTCTAAATGGAGATAAGCACCAATTTTAAAAATCCACTCTTGAGGGCTCATGCTCTAAAACTTTAATATACAGTCTTTAAATCCCACCCTTCATTCTATGCTGAAATTGTGTAACATTTAATCTCTGATGTTAATAACTCCACAATCATCACTGTAACAGAGCCACAGAAAGTCCTCCATATCAAATATGTCTCAAAACAGCAAGTTTTGTATTAGAGGGCACTTTGGTGTCCAGTGGAGCAGAAATTACCCTCTGCCAAGGAGAAACAAATTCCCCCTCTTCATTTAAACAAGACCTGGTGAGAATAATTTGTTTTTTTCCTCCCCTGCTCGTCCTTACAGTAGTAACACGGATGGCTGGGGCCAGATTGCGAGGACGTTTACGGTTAGTCAAGAAGGGCTGGCTTGGTGATCCTGCGGTGAGCACTTAAAGCGAAAAAAAGAAGATACAACCCTGAAGATATGCAAATATTCACAATGAAGCTGATTATATACTGTAAAGGGGACATTAAGATACATTTACACTTATCTAGAGCTGCTGTCATCAAAAATCTCTTTGCATTAAAAATGTAGTGTGTGTGCATATTGTCATAAGTTTGTAATACTACTCAACGACAGAACTCTTTTTTCCAAAGCACAAACACACACTCTGAAGGTGGATGTGGATATTGCTCATTGCTCATAAGCAGCTGAACTGGGTGACAGTTCATTTCGAAGACCCAGATGAAGCACATAGGAGCCTTCTGGCAGAACGTCACTACAATCTTTAGTGATCTCACCAGCTGAGGACTCCATTTTCACTGAAAGCGGCACGAGAGCTAGCATGAGACAAAACAAGCTGCTTCTTTATCTGAAAAACCTTCATATAAATGCACTCTGGCATTGCCCATATGTTGCTTTCCAATTTCATTAAATAAAATGAAATCATTCTTCTACCAATGCATCTGGATATCATATTGAATTTTGATTTGCGTGTTTTGAAATGTGCTGAAGGGATTGTCACAACAGAATGATATGGTATTTTCTGTATACCTGGTAAAATAATACAAAAATGTCTAATAAATAGAAATAGAGAGTAGAAATAGAAATTAAGAGAAGAAATTGTTCTGTATATTATATATATATATATATATATATATATATATATATATATATATATATATATATATATATATATATATATATATATATATATATATATATATATACATATATAATACAGAACAATATCCATTTAACAAATAAAAAAGGCATTGGAAAATTCTTTCCATGTCATCTCACTGTTGAAAATCTATTGCCTTTTCTACTGGCCAAAAGTGACAATTTGCCCAATCCTCTTGACATTTCAACATTAGCATTTATGAGAAGCAATTATGAACTTCTTTAAGCTGTTTGGTTAAAGGTACCCATGAGCTGAATTTACTGCTGAAAATTAGACTGAGAGTGCAATGATTTCCTATAACGCAGCTATATGTCCTACTTCCTGACGCTTCCCTGAGGCTTGTTATATGTAATTCAATTGATTTAAACTCTTGATAATAAAATATACATTAGAAACCCGAGTCTTTCTCTGTGTGAATTGGTGTAATAGTGCTATTATAGAAGATAAGCATCACTGAGATGACTTCATTACCAGACTTCATTTAGCAAAACGTATTTGAATGCAGATGAGGAGAGAGTGACGAGCAGCACGTGAGCTGGTTTACCAGAGACATTTTTGCTTGGTTTTAGTTTGATGGTGTTAATATTCACATCATTTTTTCAAAGGGGGGTGTTTTTCATTTTGTCATCTTTTCAAGACTTGTTCATTCCAATAAATCATATATCATGCTATTTTTAAAGATCATTATATTTTAACTGGATGTACTAAAATATGTTAACATTGAGTATCATTATGATTTTTATACTTTCCACCTCTCCTAATGCATAGTGTTGCTTTTTGAGAATGAAAAAAGATGTGCGAAGTTAGGGCTCATTCACACAGAATGCAATTTTTTTTATGCAATCTCAAAGCAATTCCTAAGTTTTTGAGGTAGTGGCTAATTTGTATTAATATGCACACACATGAGCACTGTATTTTTAGATGCCAAAGTTAAGATGTCAAGTTAAAAGAACTTTAAGTTTTACACACAACACCACTTGGTGTCAGCTCCAAAGCAATGGATCAATCAGAAGTACTTGGCATCAGGGCAAGCATAGCAAGTTTCTGTCTTAAGGTTATTGCACACTGCCTCTGCAACTTTCGTCCGTCAAAACCGAGTTCGATTTTTTTCCCGTTTTTGTATCCAAAAAAGCCATTTGAGCGGTGTTTTCACAGTTCAGAGCCACCGATCACGCAAAAAGCTAAATACAAAATGCAGTCATTTGAGCCACAGATAACTTTATGACAAACAGTGCACAAAATAAGACAGAATGTGGTCTTATTATATAAAAATAAATATAAATATTTATTTTTGAGTGTTCCTCTCTATGCAGTATTGGATGAACACAATATGGTGCCTATTTCTCTTTCTTTTTCTACTTTGGAGAGTAGAGAGATTTGCTAGAACTGATTCCAAAATGTTTTGCGTTTTTTTTTGTGATTAAATAATTAATATGCATCGGACTCAGTGTGCAGGGTTTGTTTATATGACAAATTTTGTATTATGAACCCGAAAAAAACACATACAAAAAATTCAGACTTCAGTGTGCAAAACCTTTATGCTGCACCTTTTGTAAACCATTTCTGAGCCCTTACAAAGCACAATGTGCATTTCAAAAGTATGTATCCTACAGTAAATTACTCCTCAAATATCCTCAATATTTCTGAATACTCTGAAATGCCTTGGATATTGTACTTTTTCATGTACAGATCACAAAATCCAAAAATACATGTCTAAGAGTGAAGAAGGACATTTGAGTTGCATTAGTAGTGTGTTATATTCGTGTCCAAGAGATGCTGTTTCTAATATACATTCACTGACCATTACCAACATTACATAAAGATTCTGTCTGATTTTTACATAACTTTTTGCAGATACATGTCAGTGTACTCATGTCAATAAGAAAAAAAAAAATCATCATCAATAGTTTAAACTTGAAAAATATTTTTAATGCTGTTGTATTGTTTGTCCCCATTGTGGCTGAGGCACAAGCTCCACCCTGTTATGCAAAAGTAGGTGGGGAGCAGAAGTTTATTTGCAAAAATCAATTTTCCATGCACTTTTTTTGATCCAATTTGCAAACTTCCCATTGCACTATTATATGTAACTTTACCCCTTGACTGTACAATTATTGATCTAATCAAATGTATGTAATCATATCCATCTGCAAATTATGTTAGGTTTTTCTGCATACATCTAACAGATAAATCTAATACCTAATTTAAACTGTATAATATGTCCATAGTACGTACATCTATATAGTATATCTTATCATGCTTGTATAACCTTTTCATTTCCATTTTTCATAACCGTTTTTCATATCCACGATATCTGTATATTGTAACAAATGTATCGTATTTATTCTTGCTGCACTTCCTACTTATATTTGCACTCTGGTTAGGTAATGACAATAAAATTTCACCTATTCTAATCTCATTTAATTTAATCTAATCTAATCTATGGAAATTAGTGATGGGAAGTTCGGATTATTTTACTGACTCGGACCTTTGAGTCTTGATCAGTGAGATGAACAAACTTTTTTGTGGCATTTCGTTTAATTTGCCAAAATATTAATAAAATGGTACGAGTTGCTTCCAAACTCATCTACGACTATACCAAATGTTAATCACTCTACAAACAGGTTATAACTAGAATGCTATAAGAAAGAGAATATAATCATTTATTGTTTCCCTGGTCTTTAACCTATGATTATGTCAGCTCACCCTTTCTGTCAAAAAAGAAAGGTCACATAAAAGGTCCCATAAAAGCTTAACCAATGCACACAGTTTGAGCCGAAAGGAGCCAAGATTAGTTCACTTTTTGAGTTTTCACATGACAGCATGTAAAGAGAGATGACTCAAACCCAAAGACTCGAGAAACAAATGGATCAAATCTTTTTCCGGCTCTAAATGCATATGATTGGCTTTTGTCTTTCACGTGATGAACGAATGACTAAAACTCGATAAAAGATTCAAAAAAGGAACTAATCTTCTGCTCGACCTACACA